CAGCACACCAAAATAAACAGAGCAAATGCAAGAGGGCACTGCTCCTAGGAACTTGTAGTTTAAATGAGCCACAGTGAAACCTTAATGAAAAATCACAGTTGTGGTTCTACAACCATTACAGTCCCAATCGGTGTCTTTCTGAATCTGCCAACCACACAGAATCAGTCTGGATCAGACCCGAGCTCACAGATGCATCTCTGAGGAACCAGTCAGAGCATACAATACAGGATGGGGTTTTTTGCCTGTTTCATGTTTTTGTGCCAACTTCTTGTTAGCTACAGGAAAACTGACTGAACTGATGTAACTAACAGTGACATAAATGAAGTAACATAAATTTGGCCTGTCAGACTCTACCCCCTCAATTTTTTTTTTGAGAACTTTTGATTTTGGCAGAATGGGTATATATTGATTCACTGCTCGGTGTTATGGGACTACAGTGTTTTTCTCGCTGTGCTAAGGGTCCCAAAACTTTACTGGCTCTCACACAAAACTCTGGCCTAAGCAATTATCCCATAAAAATGTATGTTTTTAATGATAAGCCATTGGATAGATCCAGTGACTTCTCTGACACTAATAAAATGATGTTAAAGTGTATGCATAAATCTTCAAAAGGAGACTCAAGAAGGCTGTGAGAGTACTCACACTGAGAGACAACAGCTGGATTCGCCAGGGCACCCTAACCTCCTCTCCTTTTCCAAAAAGGACCTTGCGTCTGGCACTTGCATATAAAAATTTCTATTGGTGCTTAGGCTCTGGCTGATGCAGAATATGGGCATATTACTGGAATATATATTAGAATATAGCACTCAAGGTCAGTCCTGGCATTCAGAAGCACCCCCATCAGTGAAAAATTGACCAGGACTAAAACCCTGAATAAGATCATCTCTCAATTGTACTATGGTCATGAGAATGTCAGTCCCAGAAGCCAAATATAAGTGAACAGACAGTTGCACGTACTGCTTCCCTAAATCCTTATAAATAACCCAAAACCCCACTTTCACTTCCAGAGGTTTTCCAGAGCTCCACTCCTTCCTGCTCTGCCAATCTCCAGTTGAAATCTATTGACAACTATTTCTTCTCATTCGCTTACTCACAGCAGAACCTAACAACTGAACTGTTATCTGCTTCCAAATTATCCTCTTTCCAGACAGCCCCATAACATCCTGGATGTTTAGCAAGGGCTTATTGCACTTTTGCATTATGCCAGAGGACATGCAGGTCTTCCAAAAGTGGCTGGAGAAAGTGGAAGCATGTGGTCAGCACAACAGCAGCATACAGCATCAGTATGAATTCTCCACATGGTGCATTTTCCTTTGTCACACCTGAGGACCTCAGCAGCAGCCTGGGCTCCATCCCACCCTGGCTGCCACTCTGCGGTCTCTTCTGCAAGCCAGAACAATGTAAGAGGGGAAAAAGAGGGAACGCAAGAGGGCTTCACCTCGCCTCTCAGGAGCGAGGGAGCCACAGTGGTTACTGTACATAGGAAAGCTTCTCCACCATGTGGTGAGGAACAAAAGATTTGAGATTTATAGATTAATAATGTTTTAGGGTCAATAAACCTTTGGAAAGTGATTAGTCTGAAAAACATCTTCTTTTTCATATATCATTCATCTGACATATTTTTCGACGTACTAGCTGTGATCATTCCAAATCATAAAGGAATAACCTGTATAAAATCATTTAAAGACACACTGCTGAATTTTTCATTGGGAAGACTTTAATAAACTCCAGATTAATTTAAAATTCTCTGGCTTCCTTGCTGAATAAACTACCAAAGCCCATGCAAGCCCCCATTAATTACTTTTTTTTCCATGGGATCTCATGAGTTTGTACTTTCTGAGGGATGTTTTACTGGACCCAGTTATTATACTGCCTTACAAGATTTAACTGCTAAATGTCTCTTTTATTTATTAATTTGCATTTACTTTTTGCTCTCCCGTCATTTCAAAATTGTTTGAAGTGACTATTTTTAAGGAGGTCTTAAGTTCATTTGTCATATGGTATTCTGCCAGACCGAGGTAGAAAAAAGTTTATGTCCAAATTCTTACGCCCTTCAACAGCGAGGTGTCACCGTGATTTCAGAAGCTTCCCATTTTAAGATTGCCAGCATAATCCTCAGGTGTGGCAGCTTGTCAGCTACAAGGAATTATGACACTTTACACCAGCTTAGCATATGTCCCCACTGTTTTCTTACTGGATGTTTTAAAGAGCTCATCTTGCCTAAGCTGAATGTTTCCCAGAGCCTTTCAAATAAAAGATGTACGTATGATCTGATTTGATATTATTAATAGATACCTTCTCTATGACAGTGATCTGCTGATCGAGTTCAGAATTTGGTCTCAGAAGTTGCAGGCAGGCAGGCAGGCAATGCATTTGTGAAAGCACAGAATCAAAAATCAGAAGACTGAAGAAGAACCCCAGAAGAAACACTGCTAACTACTTGGCTACTAGTGAACTATTTCATTTTAATGGTATGGGCCCGCTTGAAAAAATAAATGCATGTATTTTTAATTGCAAAAGCTTGTAAAATAAAAGTATCACAGCTATTTTTTTCATGAAATTATTTGACTCTGTTGACACAAAGCATGTACATTTCTGAACAAAAAGTTATAAAATATTCTGACATATTTTAATATAAACAGGAACATTTTCAGTGATTGCTTGGATCTAAAATGTTTTTCCACTTGACATTTGTTTATACTTCCTAGGAAAGAAACTCTATTTATGGATAACTGAATAACACAAATAAACATCAGAGAGAGCTGAAAAATCAGCTTTGATTATGCATGAAAATCTACAATGTCATTGTGTACTCTTGTGCCGTATTCTGATTGCCTGTTTATTTTTACAGAGCTGCTGGCGAGCCCATGGAAGAAGAGCCAGCCTTGTGAAGTGCCAAGTCCTCCCTGATATTTCCTGTGGGTGACATCATTGTGTATCCCCCCAAAGCACCCTCAGACATGTCTTGTCTGCTGCTTGGGTGGCACAGATCAGATGGAACATAAACACTGGGCACAAAACTCTGAATAGCAGCTTCACTTGTTCTTTGGATGGACTTGAAAGGGCCCTAAAGATTCCTTAAATGTAACCGCTACAATTCTAGAGTTACAGTAAAACGGGCTTGGGAGAAAGAGCCTAGAGCATGCTTTTTATATGCTGTTTGACCAGCTCACCAACATAAATTGTGAAATAGAGTATTACAAAATTCTACATGATAGATTATAGATATAAGAATTGCAACAGCCAGCAAAATACTCGGTAAACTCCATGAATCACTTTCTGACACTGGGTAATTTTTTTCATACTGTGTTAAATTGTTAATAGAATTTGTTTTCCTTGCTCTGTGCAACGGAAAAAAAAAAACCCACAACTTTATTTTACGTGCCATTTTTTAACCCCCTGTAATGAGTTCTTAGCTGAATAAGTGAAAGGTATGTAAATTGCGATGAAGGATTTTAGCTAAAGGGAAAGCACTTCTTATTGTACTATAAATCCCCCTAAGTACTGTGCTTGGTGGTGCTTTACTTTCTTTTCCCTTTTCTCGGCCATCCCTCCCCATTTCATGTAATCTTTCCTATCATAAAAACACATTCACAATTCTCTAAAATGAGCGATTTTCTGCCTTTAAAAAAAAGTGCTGTACCCTCCGTAGTTGACAGTAGCTCTCACCAAATGTGCAGCAGAGATCAAGTACTCTCTGAAAAATGGATGGCTTTTCAAATGTGCTTTTAGTTTGTTCTGAAATGTTTCTGCATCCTGACTCTAAGAGCAACGATCTTCAGTAACTGCGTGCAGCTCATTTGAAGCTCAGGTGTTTCTGTGGAGGTTGTGTTGGGAGTGTTTTTTGCAGGTCGTCATGTGAATACGAACTGATTCTTTTATGTAGTCCTGCACCAAGAGAACTGATGTTGCTTAAGAAGCTTCAAAGGGTTTAGGCTTTATTTTAGATCCCCAAAGTGCAGCAAGATCTCCCTGCAACGTGACTTTAGCTGTTTAATTCCATGTTTGAGAACGTAACATAGAGTTGTGCCTTTAGCTGATAATGAACGCTTAAACTGTTACACGTGTTGCCTTACCGTCAGCGAAAGAGATAGGGCAGGTATGTAAGACCACTTCAACTGAACAAAACTCTGCTTCAGCAACTTTTATTTTGTTTACAACTTTCTCACCTAATGAACCCTGGGAGATACCTTGAAGTATTTGACTTGCAGTATTTGATAGCTCGCTCAGCAAATGATGTTCATTTTTATATATTTTCCAAACTCGGAAGATATATTAAAGCCATAAGTGAAGACTGTCATGCTTTTTATTCTGAAATCTGAAAGGAACCTTAATTAAAACAAGATTTTGGGGAAGGCCATGATATGAAAGATATGGAACAATATGGTTTCAGTTATAGGCAGACTCAAACCTGTAAATCAAAGATGAAAGATTTCACTCAAATAGAATTATATAATTCTCTTTTGTTATGCAGTCAGACTATATCTTTCATGCATTTGGGTTTGTTTACAATTAGCATTTTAATTTTAAAGACTTTTATTACTTATACAAAAGCTCTCTGCTACAAGTTAGAAATCTGAAGCATGCTTTGAAAAGGGAAATCTAAAAAAGGAACGTCATTTCCTATAATGTGAAGTAAACTTTTATTCTGAAAGGCTTATTCTAAAATGGATATATGCCCCTCAGAAAGTTAAATAAAATTCTACCCCCCATTTACAAGCCAAAAGCATGCTCATTTTAGTAATGCAGAGAGTCCCAGCAGGCTAAATTAACTCCTGGTGTAAGCCACCTTGCCTGACTTTGGGCTGTTCTGAAGGGGTTGCTCACATGACTAAAGCAATCAGGAGTTCATCCTGTATTTTCAGCAGACTTGTGAAGGCAATCTTGCTTGCCATTTACTGTAATTTTCTTGTGACCATCAAAGAAGTTTTCCTTCAAGAAAACCAAGGACCATAGCTGATGAGTTGGGTAATTTGTAGAGCTTTTCACATTTTGAAATAATGGCTGCAAAATTTTAATTGAGTGCCTAGTAAGATCATTTTAAAATTAACCCCACAAATGCAAAATCTGCGTGTGTCCTTAGCTTGCATGAAATTGAATATGAATTGCAGCCTGAAATGTAAGTTACAAACTTTACCAATTAAAGTCTATATTCTGGGGTGGAAATCAGCTAAAGCTGTCCTTTGTAGCTGGAAATGCTTTTAAAATGCCAGAATAATTTGAATTAAACCACATTATAAACTCACACTTATGCATTTGTACAGGCGTACTCCCAGACAGACATCTAGACATGCTATTGGTTAAAGTTAGGATCATTTGGATAAGCAAATGTGCAAATAAACTACACACAGATTGTGTCCAGAACTCTGTTCTCACTGAAGTCAATAGCAAAATCCTCTTTGATTTCAATGGGAGACGGATCAGGCCCTGTGTTTTTTTTCCCTTTAAGTCCAGAACACCATTACTTTTTGATTATGTCATTACAAGGCACCGTACAGCCCTCTGGGAAATGATCGAGGCTTATGGTGAATATCAACACTTCCTTCAAAGCAGACCTGGGCTTTCTGAGAGGGCAGTTTCACTTGCTGCTGTTTTCTTCTCACAGTATTTTTTATTACCATCAATAGCTCCCCATGGATTACAGTCAAAATATCTCCCAGCAATTTTAGACATACTTCCAGGCAAATAATCACATAGACACTCTTAAAAATGCCCAGTTTTAGCTGGATTCAACAACAAATTCCAAGAATTTCAGAAAGATGCACGAATTGCATGTTTCTCCATTCTAATGTTCAAATTCAGAGGCTTAAGCGCTGTTTTTGAAGAGATGTCACAGTCTCATGTCTCCCATAGACCTCAGCTTAGGCCAGGGAGATTGACGGGTCTGAAAATTAAGTCTCAGCTATTTCAAGCTGGCTGCCAAAATATCTACATCTGAGCTTAGATTACTTCTAAAAATGAGCTGAAATGGATAAACGAGGAGGGGTAAATGGCAGTTTCTGTGAGTGATTCCATGGAGAAGGTGAAGCTGAGGAGGTGGCAGAGAGCCCTCAGAGCCAGGTTGAGCCTCTGCCTGGTGCTGGTGGCACGGGGGCTGCAGGCGAGCGGGAGGACATCCCACAGCACTGCCACCCAAGGCTGCCATTGCCATTAGCAGCAAATCCTTGCCTCCCAGGGGAAGCGTGTGGGAATTTGCACTCTGCCTCTGGATCAAGGTGTCTCCAAACCACCAGCCTCCAGAATGAGAGATGTCCCAGCAGCAAGTACCACTAACATGCTTGCTCCAGTTCATATTCTTCCCTAGTATTAGAGACTAAATACTAAGCTCAGTGGGGCTTTTCCTGTATTCTTGTATTTTTCTTATATTCTTAGGTCATTAAATACTTTTCTTGTATTCATTGGTCCTTAAATTCATAGTAGAAACTGAAAACTAAAAAGTGATGTGACTCAGGACATCAAGAAAAGAATGATTTTTATCCAGCTTAATGCTTTTACCTGGGCTGGAGTGGGAACAATGATGAACAGTAAATCTCAGAACTGCTAAAACCTGAGTGTCTTGCACTTCATTTTTGGACTCTGTGTGCAGGAATTCTGTATGTGCTCATTTGGCTTTAATATAATCTGCAGCAATGAAGTGCTTGATTATATGATCCTTTTCCATGCAAAATTCCTAGTGAGTAATCAAAGTTCATGGGAATTTTGCCAGTGTAAAGATGACAGAATTAGTCCCTTTTTTAATTATGTACCTTCCTAATTTTGCTTTCAGTGAAAATGAAGTAACTAATTCCAGGCAAGTGAATCTGAGGAAAATAAAATCATTAAGCTATCTTAAAAAAACATCATAAAAGAAAAAGAAAATATGAACAGCTGTTATGCAAACAAAGATGGCTGTTTCTTTACTTTGCAAAAAAGGCTACAACATGCTGCCAGCTGAATGAAAGTGGCAAAATAAATCCCTCTCTAGAGTATGTGGTATTTGAGTTGATGTCTTATCTAAGTGCAGCCTCCCTAAAAAGCTGAGAGTCATAGCCGGAGATGAAATATTAGAAAGGTTTTGCTGCAGCCAACACCAGAGGTCCTGTAGAGAACAAGAATGTAGAGACTGACTAATTTGTGTAGACAGACAGCAGGACACTTTCGGGGCAATGTGTCTGAGACGAAGAATTAGAGGGAACTTTTCCAAAGGCACTGATGTCTGTGAGGCAACCAACTTCTACTAGCTTGCAGGGGCAAAAGAGATGCCCAGCGAGCATTTATTCTTTGGGAAATGCCCCCACCGTCCCACAAGCATGCCCACACGCATGCAGACATGAACCTCACTGGACACTTTTTTGTCCTAACCAGCAGTGGCAGCCAGGTGTGCTGCCCTGACGTGTATGCTGTGCATTTGCTCGAGAAGTTATCGGCCCCTAGCAGACACTTCATAACATGACTGATAGGGGAGATTTTTGTAATTTTTTTTTTTCTCAATAGTGGCCTTTCCAGAAGTGTAGCAGTGCACGATTGTTTTATTTTAAAAGGTCACAATAGAGCTTTGTGAACCATTGTACTTTTTTTTTTTTACAGACTCCATATGGAACTAAAACAGAATATGTACATGGCGGGGGAACCTGCTGGGAAAGAATTTCTCTTAAATCAAGTTTCTGCTACCTGCTTTTCATCCTGAATTTGAAGGAGTTTGGATTCTTAATTATCATTTAAGCTTTTACTTTGTCAAGTCACTCGCTTTGGTTTTTTACCTATAATTGAATTCACCCTTGTAACACACAGAAAACCACCCAAAAAAAGTCTGTCTTTTCTGACAGATGCCCCTGCCCTTGGTGTGGGAATGAGAATAGGTTATCTTTGTCACTTCTAGCAGCAATTACATGCTTCATTTTTGTGACAGATCCAAACTGGAGTGGTATTTTATGAGTACGATTTAGCTGGCTGTCTGCTGATCATTAAAAAAAGAAATTGTGAAACTCACATTCCTCTCTAACCTCAAAAGGGACCCATTTTGATTTTAACAATGTAATATTTTCACTTGATCCAAAAGGTTTTTGTCCCATGACATCTTGTTACTAGCTGAGTTTTAGTCTCTAGCAAATAACACACCACAGAGAGCAAAGACCAAAAAGGACATTCCAGAAACTATTAATTATATCCCTTCTGCACAATCCTTCATCCTGCTTTAGTACCATGCTCTGTGGTACAGCATATTAGAAGAGTTTATAGAAAAATATAAATTGTTCTGCGCCATCAAAGATACTACTATTTGGGTGTTAATTAGTACACTGTGAGTTGGGCTGTAATTTATAAGGAAGACATGCTCCTGCATGGATGGTCTAAAGGCAAGTGACGCCTGACACCAACGGCGCTGGTACTGTGCAGCGAGAGTGATTCTGTGCTGAGATCTCCACACATTATCCCCTTCCCGATGGTACGCCTGCACGTCCAGAGGCACATTTGCAATAGCAGAGCAATAGGATGCCCTGTTTCAAAGACCACTGAAATCCCTTCTCTGACAGGCTTTGGGTAAGATCCAGGAGGCAGCTAGAGCAGAAACCTTAACTTTGTGCTCAGCCACACACAAACTGTAAAAAAAGTGTAGATACAGACCTGAACTCAGCCTCACATACCTGTTTCTGATATGAAGTGCCAGTTCTTCTTCTAGAAAAATCTGTCTGAAAGAGCTTTGACACCAGTGGATGTATTCTATTGACTTCAGCGGGCTTCAGGATAGCGTGTATGTCATGTGTTATGGGAACAGGTTCGTACTCATGTCTCTTGCTGCTTAGTTTACTGCTATTTTAAATTTCTTGATTGGCTTAATATTCCAAGTTAAGATGCAGTAGGAAAGCATAAAGCAATACCTGGTGAAGTCATAACTGAAGATTTCAAAGCAAACTTACTGCTGTGGGTTTTTACAACACTGACGTTTTGGTGTAGGGATGCACAGCTGAAATGTCTATTTTTTTCTTGGAAAATTGATGTTGCTATCTGTTTCTATGATAAAAAACAGTCCTTTTCCTCAGAGCACTAAAAGTTTATCTGTAATTTGTCTTTCCAGGCAGATGAGATTCTAAGGGATAAAACATCAGTGGGACTGACCCAAAGGGCAAAATTTTTAAAGGTCAATAATAATATTTCCACAAGAGTAAAAAGAACCTGTGGATTATTGATATTATTCCTGATACATTTTTGTATCTGAAAGCATCCAATGAGCAACGTTAAGTAATATTGTGCTCCAAAATGTTGTTGATTATATATATATGAGCATTGG